GTTAGATCGGGTAAACCTCASACCATCGAGTCCTTCCTCAAACATCGCTGGGGACAGTGACCCCACCACCCCCCTGGGCAGCCTGTTCCAATGCCTAACCCCCCTTCCTGTGAGGAAATTCTTCCTAAAGTCCACACTAAACCTCCTGGAGCAGTTTAATACAATGTCCTATTGTCCATTGCCTGGGAGAAGAGCCCGACGCAGCTGGCTACAGTGGGCTGAAGATGGAATTCCTCCTCCATTTTCAGCCCTTAAGGAGCTCACCCAGGCCTGGCCTCACCATTCCCCTCAGCACTGGGGCAGTGGGACGGGGCTCTCCCCTCTGCTGGGACAGGAGGATGGGGCAGAGCAGCTGAAAGCTGTGGCAGGCAGCACCCGCTACACCCAGCCCTAAACGCCTCCCGGAGAATTCCTGTGCAGCTGCCAGGACCAGTCTTTCATCCTGATGAGTTTCTCCCAGGAGTGTGGGATCGCCACGCCCCAGGAACGCTCGGGCAGCAGCAGGACAGTTACCGGGCCCTGYCTGTACTTGTCCTTTCCTGGCTCTCAGTTCTGCTTTTTCAGCCTCACCAAACACACAAATTTGCTTGATTCCAGTATTAATGTAAGTTTTAACCCCCCAACATCCTTCCCCATGTCTAATAAACACCATTTCTCTTCATTTGAATGGTTCAATTTGTGTGGAAAAAAAGCCCCACCATGGCAAATTTTATTACAAAGCTGTATTTTTTCCAAAAATAAATATATAAAACACTGAGACCAGGAGCCAGCCTGGACTGGGAGCAGGACAAAGGCTGTGCCAGGCTCTGCTCAGCGTGGCTGTGCCCTGAGGCTGCCCAGRGCAGGCTGGGATGCCCGGACAAAGGCCATGTCCTGCCTGTACTTCATGGCCGTGGGGGGCTGGCGCCGGAGCAGCGTGTCACCCGTGTCCTGGGGCTCGGGCTCATCGTAGATGGTGGAGATGACGATGGAAGAGTCTCCACGAGGCTTCTTCTTCCTGATAAAAGTTGGGAGCTTCTCCCCRTGGTACCTGGAGGGAAGCAGGAAAGCTTTGCTGGAGGTTGCTGAGGCAGC